GAACATTTTTAAAAGTACATAGAAGTCGATATAAGCAATTCATTCATTCATTTATTTATTCATTCATTCGATTATTAAAAAGTCAAATACGTTTTATTTTCATGTTCTAATACATTATTAAGAATGTATGCCATGCCACCCTTGAATATTTTAATGATTGTTTCCGTTTCTATTAGCGATGATAATATCATTTCCCTCCCTGTCCCTCTTAAAAACTGTCATACGATTGTTGTTTACTTATTATTCGTGGTCATCGTATTATTATTTTTTTTTATTTCATTTTTATTTTGCTTCATATTGTTATGATTACTTTCTTATATAGATTGCAAATTCTATTCTCTTGCGAAAATATGATGATAAAAGGCATTTCAATTTAGAATTCACTTTCATTGATGAAAACAATAATTCTTGTAGTTTCATGTACATTATGCGTAAATGTAGGAAGATTTTTATATATTATAAGAACGCTTATAAATATAATAGGGATAACATATATTCTCTCTTAAAAGAAAAAATTTAAAATCCTTTATTCATTTTTACTTCACGATTGGGCACGACCAGAGCTATATACAATTTTTTATTAGTTTATCGCTTCATTTTAAAAATTCGATCGCCTTATATTGTTTAATTTATTGTATACCCTGCGTAAAAGCTTGTAAATGTAACGTTATATAGGATCCTGCAATTTAAAAAAATAAATAGTTAATTAATAATCAAAGATAAAAAATATATTTGTATTAATAATAATGTAAGAAATGTCCAAATTTCAGAATCTTATAATTAATTTTGTGTTTCCTTGTAATTAATTTAATTGGTTTTGAAATTTTTACGTTTAAAATAAAATAGCATGTGAAATTATCGCCTCAATCACTAGATCTTACTAAACCACATTAAATTTATTGAAAATATATTGCCGTTATGTCGCAGCGTTGATCATATCAGACTTTTTACTCACTTCCAAAGCAGTTTAATTTTATATTTTTGTCAAATGTACTGGGTCACAAATTTATGCTGACATTCGTTTAAATATGGAAAAAAACTCACTTGAATATTAACGTATATGACTTTTGTCACTTCATTCTTAAAATCATGTCACTTGACTGTCATGTGACGAGATTTAATACTAATTTTTACTTACAAAAAATTGTGCTATTATCAAAGGCGAGGTGACTTTTGAGTGAGTTTAAGTTATTTATAATCAAAAGTATGTCATTCTTTGTCTCAATGTAAAGAAAACCGTGATTGATAACAATTTGTGCAGATGGTGGCAATATTAAATATTTACATTTTTTCAAGTGAATTAAATCGAATTTTTAATTAAATTTTAATAAATCATAAAGTTTAAAGGTTTAATGCATAGCATATGATTTTGTGGCGTTTTTTCTGATTCAACATAATTTTGTACTTTAAGTTATTTTCATTCGGTTTTATTTGACTCCAGGAATACGGCGCTCTTTACTCCAATAAAAAGTAAAACATTATTTAAAAATGTCCGAGAAAACATCAAAACGCGTTTATTCCGTCCGCACAGTTTGATTTAGTTTATAATATATAAAAAGGTATTAAAATTATGAAACAATAACAACTTCCTAATGTGTTTCTTGTGTTGTGAACGACGGTACACTTTATTAATAATGTGATTAAGAAATTGTCTTAGTAAATTTTTTGTAAAAATTCTTTGAGAGGCGATTATATTAAATATATTATTATTGTTGTTATCTTTTGAATAACTTTTATTCATGATGTCTCAGAATTGTCAGTATAAGACGTATATGTATTTACTAAGATTTATTAAGTTTTTTATACGCATTTAAATTGTTTTCTAAACGACAAAATATTCTTTTATTATTAAATTCATTTCTATAAAAAAAAATTCGAATATCTATGAAAGTACCTCAATAAAAACATAACGATGTTATTATGGGTAAGACTCAAAGCAATTATTTTGAAAGATTGAGAGATTTTTTATAAACTTTATATTTACTTTATTGTTTCAATAATAGTAAAACATGTTCTTTAATAACTTTTTTTTCCTAATGAAAAATAGCACTTATACACATTTACATGTATGCATGTAGCAATTTAAGTAATGATGTGATGTTAGTAACTACAATCGAATTGAGCACTATCAAACTAGCAAATTATTGCTTTTTTATTATTTTATTGTCCACTTTATTATCTTTTATAGGCTATGTATGAGACGGCCATAAACGAATGTAGAATGTGGTCCGAAAATGGAGCTGTTTTAGTTGAATCGAATGAAATTTTAATAACAAAATTTGAGCAAAATAAATTTAATAAGAAACTATGTTATTTATTTATGATAATTGACATAACGTAAAAATGAATTTTTAATTTGTTAATAAAATTTGCCTATTTTAAAGAATTTCGGACATATTTTTGAATAATAATTCTTATATTAGCTTCACCCTGCCCTTCAGTCCGTGCGCGTACGCCACTTTTATGGCAACTTTTTTAAATTTAATAAAACCAATTAAAATAGCAATTCAACCTTCTACAGCAGATTTTATTTAAAAATTTATTCAGTTATGACGGATCAAACTAATCCCAATTTTTTGCTGTAGTTTATGAATCGTTTCTTTTATGCTATACAAATTCAGAAATTCCTGCCTTATAGCATAGCCAATTATTTCAATTTTATGAAAATACAATTCTTAATTTTAAAATTATTTGTGCACCCACAAATTTTCATATAAAATGCAGACCCATATTTAAACCTATTGCAAAACAGAATTAATTTTCTACTAAAATTTACATGACAATTAATTTGATTTTTCTTCATTACTTAATGGAAACTTAATCAATTCTTCTTCTTTTACTAAATAAAATTAGAGCTATAACATTCTGAATAATTGATTTTGTAGTAGAATGACGTACATTCGTCTTCTAAAATTTAAATTTACATTATGGAATGTTGGCAAATTTTACAAAATCGGATAAGATTATACTCGTATAATGAGCTAAAAATTGAAATTACAATATTATACAAATATATATAGTATTTTATTTTATTATATACAAGTATATTTGTGTAAATGTGTGTATTTGTCTCAATAGTCAATATTTTTAATTTATTTATACATGGAAATAAGATTTTCTGAATCCATTTTTTGATTTAATATTGGATTTGGGATCACATTTTGCATTATTTGACCTTTATCAATTTTACTTTAAGAAAATTTATTCAATAAAAATAATATATTACAACGATCCTTTAGGCTTTAAATCTTTAGGGTATAAAAATTCACCCACATAATCAAAATAAATATACAAAAAAAAAATGGATTTCGTTTACATGTTATTCATGCTAAAAACTAGAACCTTGAGTAGATAGAGCCATTAAGAATTCGTTTTTTTTAACCAGTCCACATTTCCGATGGTGTACAGTTCCACGATGTTAGTTATGGCCGCCAAAATTAAATATTACTAAAATAATTTTGTGTTTATTTACTTTATTGTTATTCCAGCAAAGGTGCCAAACAAATTCCTAAGGTGACTTCAATCGGTATGTAGTTTGAGCAAGGTTTTGCTTAATTTTCGGTTTTTTGGTTTTCCAAAAACGAACCTACCATTGTATGGATCACCTATTTGTAATGGAAACCGATCTTAGAACAGCCTTTGTCTTAAAATTATTAACACTTTACGGGTCCGGATCAATTCGACGTTTGTCTCGGAAAACCGTTTGTAACACTGAGTAATAACGGTCTTAGATATAGACTCAAATGTATGTTTTTGATCAGCGTCAAATTCTGAGTTGATTTAGCTTTGTCTGTCCGTCCGTCCGTCCCAACGATAACTCAAAAACTAATTGAGCACATAGGATATTTGCACATAGGATGCTTTAATTGCACATAGGATAACAAATTCGTACGAGTATCACAGAGTTGACAAGGTCAACTCTATTTTTTTTCTCGTTTTTTTAAGGAATATTCAGATTAGTACCATGAAAATTCATTAAAAAACGAGAAAAAAAATAGAGTTGACCTTGTCAACTCTGTGATACCCGTACGAATTTGTTATCCTATGTGCGAATAACTAATGTGCGATAACTAACTATGGGGCAGACTATGACTTTAAGTTGCCGTATTACCATATTAATTTATGCAAAATTTCAGTACTATTTGTTATTCAAAATACTGGTTGTGCCAAACTACTATTGATGTTGTATGGCAGCTACCAGAAAGAGCCAAGAAATTTTAGCGAATTTTATCAAGCACATCGGCCTTACTAATATATTCACTTGTGTGAAATCTCAATATCACAGCTTTTATAGTTTCTGAGATATAGCCAAATAAATTTTGAAGTTGTATGGCAGCTACCCGAACCGGTACCCCGATCATGTCCAATTTAAATAGGGTTCTGGCACTTAGTACAATAAATCATTTGTGAAAATTTGGTGAACTTAGCTCAATTAGTTTTTGAGTTATCGTTGGGACGGACGGACGGACGGACGGACGGACAGACAAAGCTAAATCAACTCAGAATTTAACGCTGATCAAAAACATACACTTGAGTCTATATCTAACACCGTTATTTCTTAGCGTTACAAACGGTAAGGCAAATTTAGTATACTCTTCGAACATACGTTCTTACGGGTATAATAATTGATGAAAGAAAGATGTTTGCATATTGCACCAGAAATAAAAGTAGCTTGCTTGGAACTCCTGATGTATTTATTTCAAATTTGTTTTATTTAAATTTATTGTGAGTTCATGTGAAGGGTATTGTAGGCATTTGAAAATTGCATAATTCAATTGCAACTTGTATTAAATTGCATTCTACTTGAATAATTAAGATACTTAGTTATCTTTTAATCATTATTTATAATTTAAGGGAATAAAGTAAATATTGTTGATAAATGATTCTCAAATATTCAATTCATGGTCAAATAAGTTTAATCCATTTGATTCAAAATCACTTATACCATTGTTTACAATGAAATCAAATTTAAAAATAAAAATCATTGCTTTTCATTTCAGATACCCGACAATGGATTAAGCCGTTTATCAGAACGTTTACTTTTGTTTCGCCATGATTACAATAGTGCAAACGTATTACAATTGGTGAATTCAGCAGCTGAAGTCATTGATGAAACATTAATTGAGATCGTGTTGACTGCGACTCGTAAGTTATTATTACACTTTCTTGAATTTTAAATCACTTACAGTTACTTAAAAATTTCGAATAATTAAACAAATTTTTTATTTTTTAGCTTTAACATATCCAAATTCAGAAATTGTTACATTCCGACCACATTCGCTCAATGTACACTCATACAAGGCACCAACTTTCTGTGATTTTTGTGGTGAAATGCTTTTTGGTTTAGTTAGACAAGGATTAAAATGTGACGGTAAGTTTAAATTTTGTTTTTATCTAAATCTTTAATAGGGTCACATATAATTTTATTTTATCATTTTTTGTTTATGTGACAACTTGTGTTTGTACCCGAAAATTTTTATTTAATTGTGAATTTTAAGGAATTTTCTTGATTTCCAATTTAAAACAAAATCTGATTCTAAAATAAAAAGTTTTAAGATTTTAACAAGTCTAATGAATTGCTTCCTCATATTTTAATAACTTTATCTCATACATACTTTTTGTAAGTTTTTAATTTGCATATTTTTAGGGGAGTAATACTAGAGCTATAAGCTATTTATTTTACTTAAAAGAAAATTTACCGATAAAATGTTAAAACAATAAATTTGTGTTTGTGGTGAGATATTATGCAAGCTTTCTAAAATAAATTACCGGAATGAGTCTGCTTAAAGGAGTTATAAAATCACTGCTTAAAGGAGTTAAAAATGTTATAAATTCGTTATCCGTTTAAGGCAAAGTTAAAAAAATTTTTAAAAATTCAAGAAAATTCATAATTTTTTCCATCTCTGATGATCTGTTCCTAAATCAATTCGGTTTTAGTCAACTATACGATTGTTTTATTCTATTCTAATATCATATTGTCAGTTTTCATTAGGATGGGACCAGTCAATGATGAAAAAATAGGAAAAAAAAATTTACATAAACAAAAAATCATGCTCTCAAAAGAAAAACTTTTAATTTTATCGAAATTTTTTTTATATTATAATAATTGATTATATTCGAAGATTCCAGACATTTAGCAGCAATTATAGATGCTTTTTGTTTTACAAATTCACACTTAATCCTAACAATAATTAAAATAAAGTTGGGTCAAACCAATGGTTTGTATTGTAGCACTTTTCCCTTCAACAAGTGAAAATACTGCTTTTAAAAACAGTCTATGTATATCCACCACACTATTAAAATTATTTTCATTTATAAACGAAACTATTTCTAGGATTGCATATATTTAGGATGATACATATATGCAGTCTTTGAAATAAAGCAAAAATTAATATAAACAGGGGTTAACATAATGCTCGATTTTAAGGGTTAATTGTGTGAGTTAAGAAAAATAATTATATTTTTTAATGTCATGGAATTTACCGTTAACTTTTTGCGTTTATAGAAATTTGAAAAAGCTTGCGGTTTCAGAAATATAAGGTGTGAAAAATGCAAATTTTACAAATTTCAAGAGGCGATAACTTGAAAGGGGGTGGAGATGGAAAAAACTTTTCTTCTAAGGAAATGAACTACTTATTAATGTCTAAAAGCCCCTATAATTTCAAGCTTCTACAGGCTGGGGTCTAGAAGAAAAACGACATCAAAAATTTAAAAAAAAAGGACTGTAGATAACGGTAAATTTAAACGGCCATTTTGTTTTTCTAAAGTTTAACTATAGTATACCGCGGTAGGGGAAGCAAGCCACTGCCTTTCTACGTTTGCAAAATTTCAAAAATGCTTATGGTTTCATTGCAACATATAGTTAAAATAGGCCATTTTTAGTGCTTTGGGGGGGTATAACTTCTAGAGGGGGGGAGATAGGTAAAAATTTTGTTCTACAAAAATAAGTTTCTAGTAAAGATCTATGTACGTATTAAATTTCAGCTTTCTATTTTTAAGAATGTAGAAGTTTTGTAAACAGACACACGGACAGACGGACGGACGGACGGACGGACAGAGTGAAACTAATAAGCACTTTTTTTCAAAAAATTTTTGGAAAAGTGCTAAACATCAGATAAATATTTCCTAGTGGTCGAAAAATCCATTATCATTTCGTTTCTTTTTTGAGAGAATAAAAGACTTCTTAAATAAATTTATTAATGAATTTTTTCTTCTTCCTTGAAAAAGGTAGAAGGATATTGTGTCCATCTAATTTAAATACTCATACACATGTTCAACTTTTACAATTATTTTTTGTTCCTCAAACACATACATGCATAATTTCTTTTTTTTTTCCAGGATATTTTGCCATAATATCCAAGAGATTGTTTTTTTGGAAAAAAAAATCCTTAAATTTTGAGAATAAAACAAATTCTCAAGCTCCAGTTCATCATTCTTATTAATTCAAAATTTTTTGAATTCTTTAAAATTTAATCAGAAATTTCACCATATAGATGTTTTGAAATTTATAAATTATTATTATTACAAAAGTGTCAAAAATAAAATTTGATATTTTTGAAAGAGGTTCAGAAAAAGAAAATAAAAAAATACTAAAAATGTGCCGAAAAGGAAAAACAAAATGGTGTTTCCAATTTCTCATAATATGAAAATATGCGGTAACCAAATAAAAAATGAACAAAAACCCAAAATGACTTTATTGAAATAATGTCTAAAACAAAAAAAGCGATAGAGAAAGAAGAATCTGACAATGACTTTTATAATGACACAAGCTAAAGATATGAAACATTGTAATAAAGTAAGGACTGGGGCAAAAAAGAAAAGGAAAGTGGAATTACTGATATCGATAATATGAAAAATGCAGGATTCATTTATTTTTCAATTTTTTCGATGTTCTTTGTCATAACATTAAATAAAAGAATCGTCAAACAAAGGATATTGAATAAAAAATTGTTAATAATAAGAGCAATAATAATGAATTCAAAGAAATGAAAAAAAAAACAACTGATATGAGAAGCAAAAATTTTAGAATTTTATTATTCTAAAGGATAACATTAATATTTTACTTACTTGAATAATATTTAATAATGTTGCCATTTTTATTTGTTCGAGGTCTTTGCGGTATTGTATTGTGATTAAGTGGCTGAAACATTTTCTTAGTTGCAAAATTTATTTCAAAAATTGAATTTAAATAAAAATATTAATGGGAAATGAAAAACTCTGAGTTACAGAAATAATATAACAATGAAAAGCCAATTATTATAATTAAAGTTAATTGATCTTCCTTAATTAATTATTTTAATTAAAGAACAGTACTGAAAAATATTTCAACGAATTTTTATCCGAAAAATAATGTAGAAGTCCTCAATCTCTTTGTTTGTACTACTTCGGCAAGCATTCTATATCTGAACTATTTTAAAGTGCAGTTTTCAGATAAAACGGAAAAGTATGGCAGCAGAACTTTAAATATAAAGTTTTTATAATCCAATTATGACTATGAAATTTTAAAACCAAAATTGACAAAAATCAAAAATTTATTTATGTAGACCTATAATTTAAACTTGGAAAGTAAAGTGAACCGCCAGTCATTTTTTATTAATTCTTTATTTTAAATAATTTTTGAAAAATTTTAATCATCTCATAGTTAAAGCCTCTAATACTATAATGGTCACCAATTTTTTTTTTGTTATATTAAAAAATCTATATTCTATTATTTTCAATAATCCTTTGAAATTAAATTACCAAGTTTAAGGTTAAATTTTTATACAGCTACGTATGTATACAATTAATGATTGCTCTTATATTAGAGTTTTTTTTACAATATGATGAATTGAAACAAAAGGCAATTCCATAATGCTTGTAGAGAGGCTAGATTCAACAATATTGAAATCGTCCCTTTTGTATTTTGAATGCAATTGTAATATTAATGTCAATTATTTTGAATAAATTGTGAACTATAAATTAAAATTTTATTAAAAATGCAATATTTAAATAAATTTACATGTTAAGTTCCGATATGTACACTTCTAATACAATTGTTGGAAATTTTAATTGATATTTTTGTTCATATAATGTAGAAATAATGAACTAAAATATTTTGTATGAACAAAGTTTTTTAAAATTAAATTTGAATTTTCTAATTAAATCAATTGAAAAAGAAAAAAAATTCTTTAAGCAAATCAATTTTTGCATTTCAGCAATTATTTTTTTTTTTCAAATAATTTGCAGCCACAAATTTCTTTTAAGATTAACGAACTAAGAATAAAGTATATACATATTTGTCAATATTAGTAAAATCATTAATATTAGGAACCTAATAATAAAAAGAACCGAAAAACCTTTAAAAACATCGAAAAACTATTCAAGAAGAGTAAATTTTCTACATTTCCTGTATAAAAGCTAATAAAACTTTTTCAAGAATAGTTGAGAAAATAATTCAAGAAGAAGAAAAAAACTAAAAAAGGAATACAATGAAAAGGATAAAAAACTTTTTAAATTGCAATCATTGAAATTGAAAATCATCAAAAAAATACAAAGAAAATAAAAGGAAAACTAAGGTGTTCATGAAATTTGTTTTTGAAAATTTCTGCTTTCCCCTCAGAATTCCCTTCTTGAATTCATCGATTTGCTTAAAATAATAATGAGATCCTATATTGGACTCTTTTTTTTCGGATAAGTAACATGAAAATAATTATATTGTGGCAATTTCTGAAAAGAATTGGTAGAATAACGGTAAACTTTTAATTGAATTTTCGGTGAGAAAGTTTTTACCTAAAGTTTTAGACCTTTTGTAAAATGAGAATTGCAAAATAATCGCTAAGATAATAATTTGTTCTTAAGTTATTTTGCAGAGCGTTAAATTTTAATGTAAGAAGAAATGATATTGTCGTAGAACAAAAGTAATTTTTCAAAAGAAATTAAAAAATCGTAAAAAGAACATAGACAAACATGGAGAAAAATTTTAATTTCCTATAGAATTTTTGCCGTATTTAACTTTTAGTAATTGAAATTGTTTTAATAGTTTCTTAATGATTGATTGGGAGAATTTTTTCAAAGTTTCGCGAGAAAATACTAAATTGAGTTATGGGAGTTATTAATTGAAAAAGCAAGTGCTTCTTCACTTTTGAAAATGACACTTAAAAATTGAATAGGGAAAATAGAAAATTATTTTAAAATGATAGGAGATTGGGTTCGCGTTTTTAAATAAATTCAATTTTTACCTAAAATTTGAATACTCTGGGCTTTAGAATTTTTCTAAACTTTAAAGATTTTAAATTATTTTAAAGTAGAGGGCTTATTATTTCATTTCTTTATGTGAAATTTCCAGACTTCGTAACATGCGAAGTATCGCGAAATTAAATTTGAAGTTGTATG